GGGGGGGGGGGGGGGGGGGGGGTTGCGCAACCAAAACTTTCTTGCACGGAGGTGGCCCTAGTGGTATTGTGTCGACCGTGATATCTTGAAGTACCCTTTGTCGCGCCGGTCTCTTGTTTGGAGCTGGCGCCTCAATCCTATCATCCTCTGTCATCACCTAAATTGGTCCCGCTGAGGCAGCTCTGCTGGCGAGGCGTCCGGTGGTCTCAGGCTCTGCCAAAGGAAGTAGGATGTTGCACTTTCTATCCTTGTTGAAGGAGTACTTGTTTTTAAATTTGTCGTGGTGAGTCCTTCAAACAAACTGCCATGGTCTTTCCAGCAAATGATGACAGATATCCACAGGGACCACATCACACAACACCTGATTTTGTAGCTGGCTCCCAATCGAAAGCTCTAATACTTGTTTTTAAATTTTTCGTGGTGAGTCCTTCAAACAAACTGCCATGGTTTTTTCAACAAATGATGACAAATATCCACAGGGACCACATCACACAACTCCTGATTTTGTAGCTGGCTCCCAATCGAAAGCTCTACTAAGCATCTCCAGTCGATGACCCGATTCTCCTTCTTCATCTACGTTAGTGAATCCAACTGGGAATGTCTCTGAGTCATGAGAATCAATTTATGAACTATCTGTGTAGATGACAAGTTCTTACTGCTTCTTGCACGGAGGTGGCACTGGTGGTACCGTATCAACCGTGATACCTTGAAGTACCCTTTGTCGCGCCTGTCTCTTGTTTGGAGCTGGCGCCTTAGTCTTATCATCTCTTGTCATCACCAAAACTGGTCCCACTGAGACAGTTCTGCTGGCGAGGTTTTTGTGGTCTTAGGTTCTGCCAAATGAAGTAGGATGCTGCACTTTCTATCCTTGTTGAAGGAATAGTTATTTTTAAATCTGTCGCAGTGAGTCATTCGAACAAACTGTCATGGTCTTTCCAACAAAAAGGTGATGGATATCCACAGGGATCACGTCACACCATACCTGGTTTTGTAGCTGGCCCCCAATCGAAAGCTCTACTTAGCATCTCCGGTCGATGACCCAATTCTCCTTCTTTATCCACGTTAGTGAATCCAACTGGGAATGCCTCTGAGTCATGAGGATCAATTTATCAACTATCTGTGTAGATGCCAAGTTCTTACTGCTTCTTCAATTGTTGATCAGACTGCATAACTTCTCGTTGACGGTGCACCGAGTGTAGAATATATTGTGACGAAGCCACTGCGAATCTTGTGTATCAATATCTGTCTGTAGAACCCGTTGAACTACGAACACTTCTCTTTTATCTGGTGGAAGATGATACACCTTACCCTGGTTCTCAACTGTCTCCTCGTTGCTAACTTCGTTCACGATGCCCTGTTCTTTGAGAGTGTCTGCTCAACTCATGGGGCAGCTGAAGGCTATGTGGCCATAGCTGTGACACCTAAAACGCTTCCTGATTGGGTACTGTATTGGAGGAGCTACCCTTCTTCTGCTTCTTTTCACTTGGATCCATTATGTCACTTCCTTGTTCGGGCTTGCTAGTTCCTCCCGAGGTACCCTTATCTGTTGTGGTACTTGTAGGTGACTTCTTGATTGAAGGCTGCTGCCTGAAGGATTACTGTTGTTTGTTTTGTTCGTGTTGTTTTTCCTCCTTCAAGGCTAGAGTCTGAATCTCTCCAAGTGAAGAATAAGACTGCAGCTGCACAACCGGTAAGGTATTTTCTCTGCATCTCTTTTTTCATCTTCTCCCATGTAATAATTTTTTTAGTACCTTTCCTTTTTCTGTCTTTATAAGTTACCCCACCACAAAGAGATAATTTTCTTCAAGTTAATAGCAGTTAATTTGAATTTTTTATTTTCTGACAGATTCTTATACTCAAAGATCCGTTCAAGTGTTTGCAACCAATAAATAAAGTCTTCTGGATCCTTACTTCCATCAAACACTGATAGCTCCACTTTGATGCCGAAGACTTTGTGCCTTCCAATTGATATATCTTTGAAATTCTCCCTATGGAAGGGATTTAGATACCCCTCTCTAGGCCTCCTCTCATACTGAATTCCAAAACGTCGTGGTCTATCTTGTTTATCGCTGAAATTCTCCATATAGAAGGGTTTCAAATC